CTTATCCACAATTATAAATAGGTATTATCTAAATGATTAGTTCATGAAATTGAAATACATTCGTTTTTGAAATAATACTCATATTTTTATATTATAAAAATGAGCAGAGGAACATTTCAAATAATCAAGTAAAATGAACATACATTCTCCATGAACAACCACACAAAATCACAGATTCATTCGAAGTATAAATCAAATGGATATTTTACCTCTACCTGGTATATTATTCAATTGCAGCTCGAAAGAATCCGCTTTTAATATTTGTATTGTAATCTTCCATCATCGTCATCGATAAACTCTTCGACACTTTCTTGATTTTGTGGACCCTTGGATATATGTTGCCTGTGACCGAAGTATAATATATTGTTATAGGCCCAATTTGAACCAACCTTCGAAAATTATTACTGGATTTTTAGAATCTTTCGATGTCTACAAACTTATTGCAGTAAACACGAGTAAACATTATCGAATTTCACATTTCACATTTTGTGACAAACACGTGACATAAAACAACAAATTTGGTTCCAAAACACTGAAATTATACACTGTTGTCATGTGTAAGGGCTCCTTTTAGAAGGAATACTCAAGCACAGTAGAGAGCTTAGGAGTCCTCAAGGAATCCTCAGAAAAGGAAGACTTGGGGAGTTCTTTACGGAATGACTATATACATACGGGCTCTAGACACCTTTGACTGTCACTTGCGTGATGCGTATTTTGACGTATCACTTCAATTTTAATTGAACGTCAGTGTGAATCAAAGTTTGGTATCAAGAGAACATGATTTATGAACTCGAAGATTTTTGTTGTATTTTCCGGTTTTTCTTTGTGTTTTTTGGTAGGCCAAATACAGTTGTGTGTCACACATACAGAAAACGCTCAAATTCAAAATAAAAGCTTATATTTTTTTACTTTACCGCACTAGTGTGGTCTATATATCGGTGACTATAAACATAGTGACACGTGGATGGACTCATACATTTTTCACAATCAATTTTATTGAAATACTCAAGCGGTACTGCAGACAGTAGGTACAGACATCTTTCAAACCAGTCAAGCATTTCTGGCATTCCAATCCAACATTTCCAACACAAAATAATCAACAATAGACAACTATCCGTTCATTAATAATTATTTGCTTTACCAATTCAAATGCTTATTCAAAGAAAGGATATTCCCGCTAGACCGTTGTCCAAACAATTGACGGCCTTATAGGTAGATGAAATAAAGACGTCAAAGTCAAACCTACGCAGCTATGGCAACAGAGGAATATAGTTTTGAATGTAATCAACCCACCTGTGAGCTCTGAAACAGGTGGGAGCATCGAAACTACTTTCCAGAGACTTCAACTATGCTACAGACAACAAAACCAAACGGGGAGTTGTGCAGTTGTGTCCATTTAGTTAACTAACAGTGGAGTATGGGTACGCGATCGGTGACGATATTTTAGACGTTTTCATGAAATGACATGTGATTTCTCGTAAATAGTGCGACTTTTATTTAGTTCTTTCGTTTCCCTCCAAAATGGTTGCCTCAAGTGACAATTTTCAATGGATTTTATTGGTTCTCTCTCTACTTGGATCTTTTCAAAGGGTGAGTAGTAGAACTGGCGAAGTACCCATTATCCTTATTGTCTTGAATTATATCAATAATATCGTTTGGACAAATAATGATGTCTTGAATGATGTATCATCGTTCGACATTTGTCGCTTTCAACATTATAGATATTACTAGAGATATTATGAACTTTCCCTTTTCAGGTTATATGTTCGCGTGTTTGTGCGATGTTCATATATTATGTGTTTATTAATTTATCATAATGATTCACTTATTGAGAATCGTGGTACCAATATAGGTTTTTATTAAAACACAAAAACTGTCGTATATCGAGTAACGAGTAACGATACCTACTACCGAGCCTACTACATATTGTTGTTCCTTATTGAAATTCGAGTTGAAATTTATCAATGTTAATGGTGATATCGTTTTATTCTCGGTTTTATTGTTTCAATTATTACAGTGAACTTCAACCCTGATGACTTCAACACACGCTGTTATAAGCAGTAGGTAGGTATAGGATAGGTATATGACATTGAAATTTCATTTTTTATTATCAACATCAGCTTATTTGGCTGGATAGAAGATAGAACGTAGGTGTCGGAACCTAATAATTGATAGTTTAATTTCATCCAACGTTTCACTGTTTATTTTGATCATGCTCGTATTCTATAGCTACCGAGAGGTGACTCACTCTGACAATCTGGTGTAGACTTTCCTTCGAATCCACTTCGAATCTTGGAAATCTCACCAATCCAAGCCCCAATCTTGAAATTCCACAAATCTCTATTCGAATCCCTAAATATCTCTTCGAATCTGTCAAATCTCAACCTTGAATATCAGAAATCTCTGAATCATCCTTCGAATCCTCTCAATCCTGGAAATATTGCGGCAATCTCTCAATCCCAAGCAAAAAGTTGCGTTTTATTTGTTCCATTCTGGTACCGGTGGTGGGAATAGAATGACATTTACGAATAAAACGGGAAACTTCACTACTTTCTTAGAGAATTGACATAATATCAGCGATGCTACAGGTTATATTTATATACTTATTAGGGATTCGAATAATTCCAAAATTATAATACTAGAATCAAAAATCAAGAAAATGAAAGCAACGCATATTTGGAGCTGTGATGGTTAGAGATCGAGAGAACTTATTTCATCTGGGAATGGAGATATATAAACTGTCTTACTTGAAAGAATCATAATCTTGTGGTTTGGTTTTTCGCTTGGTTTTTCGTCAATCTAATTTCATTTTTTGACAACTGTCAACAGTCATTCTACGTCATTGTAGTGAGACGGAATATAAGGTGCGTTTTTTTGGTTTTCCACTGGTGGCAGTAGAATTGACGACCAATAAAACGATATGATTCTTATTTGAAAGTTGTGACATTCAGCTGATCTTTCTCAGGATAATTTCGTGATCTTGCTGTTCATCAAGTAATACCGCAAATGTATTTTTGAACATTCAAAAGTAATTTCAGGATGAGTCCAGAAGTTTTTGAAATTATTCTGGGTAGAATTGCGAATAATTCCAAAATATTTCCTGAGGCGAGTTCACTTTACGGCAATTTTAGGTCAGATTTTGAGGTTAGATTATATAAAATACCACCATTTCCGCCATTTTATATACTCCCTCCAGAATCGTCTTCCTGTCATTCCGTATGAGAAGACGGAATGAAAAGTTGAAACCAGTTTCAGAATTACGTTCAATAAAACGACATGAATTGTCATTCCGGTGTAAGAATCTTGCCAATAAAACGCACCTATAGGAAGTAGCAACCGGAATCAGAAACGCAAATCTCCCAATTCGACATCCAGAATCCAAAATATATTCGTCGTCGTGAATGTATATTACCGTTACCACCGATACAACATATCGTTACCACCGATGTTTCGGTGGTAACGATATTACTCGGTATATTATCACCTGACGAAGCTACTGTGTTAGCGAAACATGTCGTGTGTTTAAAAATTTGTGGAAATCTTATCGTTTGTGAAGTTTTTACATTTCACCCTTGATTATATACACCATAAGATTTACTCGAGGTTTCTTGAATCTAATTACGAACAATGCTCTGGGGATATATTCAAATATGGAATGACCATCATCTGAACATTATTTATTCAATTCTTTTTACAGAGGACGGTTTTGTTCAGACCAAATTCAGGGTGAGATTTGATGCCTAAGTCAAAACGAACATTATAACATGTTTCCTGTTTTCAATTGAAGCTGTTGAAAACACTGTCCCATAATTTTCAGAGGATGTAATAACATTGTATTCACATGATAAATTGTTCGTTTTCGATCCATCAGGAATTGATTCTAAGAGGTTTATGATTGATTTGTGAGATATATATTTTTCAGCTGAATGAAATCATCCTCTTCAAGTTCCAGTACAATGAAAAATAAAGTGAAACAAGGTTATTGAAATGTGAATTTGATAAACAGCAGTCTCTTCGACAGTCCATTTGGAGTGGCTAAAGTATTTCGAAATGAACTCATCAGTGATTTGATACAGTGAAATGAGATACTCATTCAAACCGATATTCAAACTATAAACTATGAACTATTTGTTATAGAATGTGCTAAATGATAACATGAGAGATTCACTTATTTTAAATATATTCTATATTTGTGCAGTGAATTCCTTTTCCTTTCTCAAAAACTAAGATCAGACATGTAGAATTATTACGAGAATTATTATATAGTCATCTTCAGATTTTGCGAAAATTCGTATATAAATACATTCATCTTAACTTTGAGAAACGCCACTGGTGTCCATTTACATTTCACCTCGAATCCACACGCCGCTACTGTTAATGGTTCACTTACAGCAGCTGATGCATGATTTGTTCGTCCGCCATATTGGATGCGCATTCTAGTCGTAAGATATGAAGATTATGAGTTGATACCTATACCTATTCGCCGATAAATAGACGACTATTCGAATGCAATAATTAAGAATTACCGGGAATTACTATATAGGGTGTTGAATGTGAAGAAACAAAGTTATGAGCATTCGAAAAAGTCAACATTGGCAGAGACATTTGCAGTTCATTATATAATCTCCAAAAGTTCAAATAAGAATTCCAATACCTACCTCTTCCTATCCTCCCTAGCACGTTGAATGCCACTGTGAACAAAAAAAATTGGTCCCTCAGGCCAAATTTTTTTTCGCTTTTCTTCAAAGAAGAATTACCGAGAAAATTACCATAAGTAACCCATTGTGCTACTAGAAGCTAAAAGAAAAACTTTTGGAAATTTAAACAGAAAAAACAAAAATGGTGACACCTTGGTCTCATGCGGCCATTGAGTTGCAATTTTCGCCCTCAGGCTATATGAGACCAATGTGTCACCATGCCAATTTCATGTTTTCACAGGTCTCGCCATGTAAGTAGAGGCGGATGTGGTCGCTCGCACTTTGTTTACAATATCAATTCAGTTGTTGTTGCACTTTCGGCGTGTAAACAAGTCTCGTTACGAGGAAGAACAGCAAAAATTACAAAATTTATTGCAAGAATGTTTTTCCGATGAAGAGGATATGAACCATTTCGAACCCGACGGAACGTCAGATGAATTTGAACCCGAATCAGATGACGATTCTGACTCTGATTCAATAAAATATCAACCGCGCAAAAAGAAGAAAGTTTCAACAAAAATTAGTGGCTCAAAACGCAATACCAATTTACACCAAGTGAAGCCTCAGATATACTGGAAGATGTTGGTCGAGCTAACAGAAGACGTTGTGTAATTTGTTATGGAGAGATCTCTGAACAAATCTGGATCAAAGGAAGCCTCAAGAAAAACTCCCCAAAGTTCATTGAAGTGCGGAAAATATGACTGCCTATCCTGTTTTTTTGAAGCGCATAATGCAAAAAAAATAAATAAAGAAGTCTTTGTTACCTTTATTTCAAGTTTTTATGTAGAGAATAGTTTTATTTTTATGTAGTTGTACTTCTTCGTAAGGAATCGATGAATTAGTACTAGAAAAACTGAAAAATTATGTCTCTAGTTTAAAACAAACGAAAGAATATTATAACAATTGGACCGTCAGGCCATGCTTTTTAAGATCCCATTGATTCAAATGCAACGAAATGTATCGGCGATGCATATGAGTCCACATTGGTCTCACGAAGCAATCAATGCCCAGTTACTCGATGAGACCACGTTAGTCTCATCTGGTACTCAACGTGCTAGATACGCAAGATGATCTTCGTACATTTCAGGGATTCCGTTTCATGCGCTCCGATGGGTGACCCACCTTGGAATTATGGTTTAAAGGCATAAGGGATTCCAGTGGGGTTCCAGTGAAATTCCGGTGAGACTCCAGTGGAATTCCAGTGGGATTCCGTGGGATTTCATTATAGGATTTCGTGGGTTTCCGTGGGATTCCAAGTGGATTCCGTGGGATTCCGGGTGAATTTCGTGGGATTTTAGGGATTCTGGTGTAAAAATGTTTCGAAGGTGGTTTACCCCTCAGTGCGCTTCCAGCGACAAAAAAACCGACCCTGTGAAATAACTCCTCGGATAGCTCTCAATCATGACTCCATGCATTCAACCTATAGTCCAAGTGTCATCGAAGTTCTTGCATAATTTTGGATAGAACTTCTGAAAACGAAGATCAGCAGACATATTGAATTAACGCCGCAAAAGAATTGCAAAAATAAGACATGGTTGTTCCACCGAACATAAACATGTTCGGTGGTTGTATAGACGAAAAAGATTTTGTCTCTCTCTTATTGCGATGGACCCGAGGATGGACCTATATAGAGCTTCTCTACACTACGTGGACACCCGGTTTAGAAAAAGTAATTGCTTATTTGAATGACTATTTCAATCATGATCAACTAGCTGCCTTTCAATTCTGATTGGTCTATCAGCCTTGGTGTTTCCAACGATTTAACTATGGATAGCGAGCAGAGTCTGTCATTTTGAAATAAAGTAATTATAGATGTAGTTGTCAGAATGAATCGCTCATTTATAATAAATGCTTTTTATGTTTCGTGAACGTGAAATAGTGAAATAGCAAAAATGTTCTGAATATCTTCTAATAATTCTGCCTTTTTTTTATTCGGAAGTGCTCGCTAAAGGTTGGACCTATAATCCCGTGGTGGAACTGCGAGCACTAAGGAGGGACAAATATCGATGGATCCTCCTCTTGAGGGTAAATAGATTGTAGTTCGCTGGAAATACATCTGTGGGTGAAGAATTCCACAGTGAAGATGTCCTACAAAAGAAGGAGTTCTTGAAATATGTTGTTCTAGGTGTTTCAATTTTGACTGCATATTGGTGTGAGACTTGAGCCAGCCGCGTTTGGCGAACAAAGGTCATTCCAGGGGGGACAGCTGATGACAATTCAACAGAGCATCGTCCATGATAGTAGCGATAGAAGAGTGATAGGTCTGCAACGTCTCTCCGATGTTGTAAAGTTTGCAGTGATCTTGTCAGAGTTGGGTCATTGACGGTCATTGATGAGCCTGATGGCTCTTCTTTGAACCGACTCCAGCAACCTCAGGAAGTGTTTTGGAGCTGATCCCCAGACGTGCAAACAATACTCAAGGGATGGTCGAATTTGGGCTTCGTAGAGTGTCAGAAGATCTTGTGAGGTGAAATACTTCTTCGCGCGGAAGAGGAATCACAGCTTTTGAGAGGCAGCTCTGGCTATATTGGCAACATGGTCATGCCAAGATAAACTGTCAGATACCGTGATGGCGAGCATTGATAGTGATGAACTGATTGTTAAGGTTCTTCCAGCCATAATTGTATCAGGACCCGCACGGTTAGCCTTCTTAGAAAAAACTGTTGCTTGAGTCTTCAAAGCGTTATAATAACTTTTTATTCACACAAAAAAATAACTACAAGAAAAATGTACCACAAGATGAGTACAGTTGTGAATAAAATATACTCGATAAGTGATAATTCACTTGTTTCGAGATAGATAATAATAACTAATACTAATTCAATAGCGTTTCGAATAGTTTACCTATAGATATAATAATGACAATAACGAAAAAAAATAAATAAATACAAAAAAAAAAACGAAAAACGAATGAGACAGTACAAAAGTATTAAAAGTAATTGCTATAAATTGAAATACAAATTGAGAAGAAATGCATAATACACTTGGACCTTGATACAATGATCAATTAAAATAATTATTTATCATACTTCGGGGATTTATTAAGATAAACTCCCTAAGGTTCTTTTTGAAAGATGATATATGTGGGATGTTCTTTATATTTTCCGGTATCGTATTGTATAGTTTTGGTGCAAAATAAGAGTATGATCGTTGGGAAGTAGTTTTGAGCATCAATGGTGTTACGTAATGATGTTTTTGACGAGTGTTGTGATCATGACGTGGAAGCTGTGAACATTTTCTATTCACGTGGTACTTGTTGCCTACGCAAAAGAAATAGAGCTGTCTCAAATCTAGTATCTTCGATTCTTCGTAAAGGGCGTTAGTTGGGTACCTGGGATTTTTAGCGAATACTAACTTTAAAAATCTTCTTTGGGTAACTTCTAAGGAATGTATGTGTGTTTTCAGACTTGCTCCCCATACAATTATGGCATATCTGAGATGGCTTTCAACTAATGAGAAGTATAAGGTCTTCAGATGCTCAAGCGGTAAAATATCTTTCAATTTTCGAAATTTAAATAAAATACTACGTAGCTTATTCGTTACCCAACAAACATTTTAGGTATTATATACGTCATTTCGACCTTAGAATAGGTCAACGACTTATTTGGCCTAAGTGAATATTACGTCTTATTTACTTCAAATTTACCAATATGGGGAAAAAACTGGAAGTAATGCAGAAGACGAGAATAGGGATATTAGGGTATCCTGACCAATAGGTCGAGGAAACAATTAGGTGAAATTGTCCTAATTCTAGTCCGATGGTGGTCTGATTTTAGTTATTCTGACGTTATTCATTACCTACTTATGGGTGAGTTTACTAAGATTTCTACCTGGTTTACTGTCATTTGGTTGGGTTCGGATAACAAATATGTACCGTGTTTCACGATCGACTATACCTACTCATTTACGTGTGGAGACTTAGTAGTTTATGAACATGGCGTTCAAAAGAAAACTCGATAGTAGTGGAAGGTGTAGATAATATGCATGTTGTTTAGCTTATTTGAGGTTGTTGTGAATCGTTATTCAACCTGCGATGCAAAATTTATTGTGAAAATGTTGATTTTACACATGTAAAATTAGTGGGCCCACGAAATTATTGGATTTGTAGAAAAATACTGGATGATATTCTTTGTGTTTTCGAATCATTTTTCAACAATTCCATCTAAAAATGGATCAACTGGTAGAATATGATCATATATGCGAAATTTAACCTTTTCTGTATTACTATTCATCAGGATGTGGTCGCTATGCAGAGATTTCTTCTTTTTCCGTCAATGGCGAAAAAGGTTCGAGCCAACGAATATGGCGTCGGTTTCATATTGGACTTGAAAGTCGAATTTTCCAGAATCTTCAACTTTCAGGGCGAATAGGCTTCGTTCATAGTCGAAAATTCTGTATATTCTGACTATGGAGCCCAATTTCCCCATATTGGGATTTTAGACTATATCAACGAGTATATTATTTGAGTAGCAGTCACTGATGGATTTATATTATCAGATGTTCCCTATAATCATATAATTTGTCAAATGTTCGTTGTTCGCTTTCAATTTCTTATTCTGCACCACGGTATGTTTTCTAATTGGTCGCTGGATGACAGGCTTCATTTTTCAGCGAATCAGAGAAGTCCATCGCCGTGTTGTCATCTCTCGAACAGTGTTGCCGTTCTAGTATACTTCTAGTACATTTGCCATTTTTGTACGTTCTCAACCGGAGTGTAATAATTGATACCTGTTTTTTTTTATAAAAGTTATTTGAAATATGCATTTAGATCTGACCAATGGAATAAGTGGAAGTAAAACTTCGAATGTCAAAACAAATCGATGGTTTAGATGATCAAACATCATCGTAATGTATAGAAAGATATCATGATTTGCTTTAGAAGCGTTCAAGCGGTAAGCTACCTGAACCACTCACTGGTGATAAAGAATAAAACATTCAAAACTCATACATTGCGCTTGTCTCCAGTTTTTAATATTTTCAGAAATTAATGATCATTTCAAAACATTTGCCGACCTCAAAGCACCAGGATCAATAATAGTCATCAACTTTGAGAACATGATTTTAGGACTAATTTTGGTATTCTCGGCTCTCTCAAGGACACTTCGTTCTATAAGGATTTCATAGTGGTAATCTTGCCTTCATCGGATATGAAGTTGGTACTGATTAGGTTAAAAAAAGTATAAGAAACTCCTTCGACTCAATTGGTCAAAAATAGGCAAAACAGAGTATAAATCCGACTTATTTTCTCTATCTGATTATTCCCTGACTTTATGATCGTTTATCAAGTTAGAATTTGGTAAATTTCAACTCCAATAAATATCCTGATAGTTCGAGGGCTTGGAAGACATTTTACTGGTGATTTTGATGTTAAATATTACCTAATTGATAACTAAATGCTCACTAGGACCATGAAGTTATGTTTGAAGTCTGTAATGAGTAGTTTCCAACTATGCAATTTGTCTATAAAGTTGATGGATTTTATAGAAAATGTTGAGGTCCTAACCAGGTATTTTACAACCTAATCCATAACTTTCAAGTTACTCAGGGCATAAAGGTAAAATATTTTGTCGGAAATTAGTAAATTTCGACTTCTTCGAGTAATTTCTCCTCTC